TCAGGTCCCCCTGAGCATCTTCGAGCTGGCATCGGCCGCAGGGATCCCCTGCGAGGTGGACCCCGCGCTGGTCAACGTCCTCGCTGGCAGCAAAACGGGTACAGAGGGGGTCTGGGGACACAAAGGGGGTCCTGTGTCACCTCCCCGGGACCCCCATGAATGTCACCTCCCTCCCTGGCAGATGGCGTGTCCCCAGAGGAGGACTACAAGGTGGCCTGTCTGCTCCTGGTCTTCGTGGCCGTGTCCCTGCCCCTGCTGGCCTCCGACCCCGCATCCGTCTACAACACCGAGGTGGATGGTGAGGCTCGTGTCCCCGTGTCCCCAGTCCTGGCTGAGGCCCCATGGTCCCTCATGGTCACTGGGGTGGGACCCCTGAGGTTGTCGCTGCCCCAAAACTGCAGCTGAGGGTCGGTGGGGACAGCAGGACCCCGGGGCTGGCAGGGCTGGTGGCCCAGAGCTGCAGATAAGGGAGGTGGGCACAGCGAGGACTCTGTGCTGTCCCCAACGTCCCTGTGTCCCCAAGCTCCTTGTGTCCCCAACCTTCCCTTGTCCCAATCTCCCTGTGTCCCCAACCTGTATCCCCAACTTCCCTGTGTCCCCAACCTTGTGTCCCCAACCTTCCCATGTCCCAGACCTCCTTGCATCCCCACTTAACTGTGTCCCCCAACCTCCCTGTGTCCCCAACCTCCTTGTGTCCCCAACTTTCCCATGTCCCTACCTCCCTGTGTCCACAACCTATGTCCTCAAACTTCCCTTGTCCCAAACTACCTATGTCCCCAACTTCCTTGTGTCCCAAACCTTCTTATGTCCCTAATCTTCCCGTGTCCCAAACTTCCTGTGTCCCCAACCTTCTTGTGTCCTCTACCTCCTTGTGTCCCCAACCTGTGTCCCAAACCTTGAGTCCCCACCCTCCCTGTGTCCCCAACTTTCCCATGTCCCCACTTACTTGTGTCCCCACTTACCTGTGTCCCCAACCTTCCCTGTGTCACAGCCTCCCTGTCCCCAACCTTGTGTCGCCAACCTTCCCATGTCCCAAATCTCCCTGCATCTCCACTTAACTGTGTCCCCAACCTTCTTGTGTCCCCAATCTTCCTGTGTCCCCAACCTGTGTCCCCAACTTCCTGTGTCCCCAACCTTGTGTCCATAACCTGTGTCCTCAACCTCCCTGTGTCAAAACCTCCCTGTGTCCCCAACCTTGTGTCCCCAACCTTCCCGTGTCCCAAACCTCCCTGCATCTCCACTTAACTCTGTCCCCCAACCTCCCTGTGTCCCCAACCTTCCTGTGTCCCCAATCTTCCTGTGTCCCCAACCTCTGTCTCCAACCTCCTTGTGTCCCCAACCTCCCTGTGTCCCCAACCTCTGTCCCCAACCTTCCTGTGTCCCCAACCTCCCTGTGTCCCCAACCTTATTGTGTCCCAAATCTTCCTGTGTCTCCAACCTCTGTCTCCAACCTTCCTGTGTCACAACTTCCCTGTGTCCTCAAACTCCCTGTGTCCCCACTTAACTGTGCCCCCAACCCGTGTCCCCGACTTCCCTGTGTCAAAACCTCCCTGTGTCCCCCAACCTTCCCAAGTCCCCAACCTCCCTGTGTCCCCACTTAGCTGTGTCCCCAACCTGTGTCCCCAACCTTGTGTCCCCAGCCTTCCCGTGTCCCAGACCTCGCTGCATCTCCACTTAACTCTGTCCCCCAACCTCCCTGTGTCCCCAACCTTCCTGTGTCCCCAACCTCTGTCTCCAACCTCCCTGTGTCCCCAACCTCCCTGTGTCCCCAACCTGTGTCCCCGACTTCCCTGTGTCAAAACCTCCCTGTGTCCCCCAACCTTCCCAAGTCCCCAACCTCCCTGTGTCCCCACTTAGCTGTGTTCCCAACCTGTGTCCCCAGCCTCCTTGTGTCCCCAGCTTTCCCAAGTCCCAACCTCCCTGTGTCCGCAACCTATGTCCTCAACCTTCCTTTGTCCCAAAGTACCTGTGTCCCCAACTTCCCTGTGTCCCCAACCTGTGTCCCCAACTTCCCTGTGTCCCAAACCTTCTTATGTCCTCTGCCTCCTTGTGTCCCCAACCTGTGTCCCCAACCTTGTGTCCATAACCTGTGTCTTCAACCTCCCTGTGTCAAAACCTCCCTGTGTCCCCAACCTTGTGTCCCCAACCTTCCCATGTCCCAAACCTCCCTGCATCCCCACTTAGCTGTGTCCCCAACCTTCCCAAGTCCCCAACCTCCCTGTGTCCCCACTTATCTGTGTCTCCAACCCTGTGACTCCAACCTTCCCATGTCCCCAACTTCCCTGTGTCACAACTTCCCTGAGTCCCCAACCTTCTTATGTCCTCAATCTTCACATGTCCCCAACCTTTCCATGTCCCAAACCTGTGTCCCCAGTCTCCCTGTGTCTCCAATGTTCCCATGTCCCCAATCCATGTCCCCAACCCAGGCTACACCAACAACATCCACTGCCTGGCCAAGGCCGTCATCCAGGTGGCAGCCGCGCTCTTCACCGTCCACAAGAAGAACATCGAGAGCCACCTCAAGGAGTTCCTGCTGGTGAGGATGGCCTGGGGGGTGGGTGTCACCCCCGGGGGGCACAGGGTCCCCGGTGCTCACCAGGACCTGTCCCCCTGTCCCCCTGTCCGTCCCTCAGTTGGCCTCTGCCAGCCTCCTGCAGCTGGGCCAGGAGACGGACAGGCTGCGCGCCAGGAACCGCGACTCGGTTTCCCTGCTCATGCAACTGGTGGGTAATGGGGGGGACTGGGCTGCTGGGGGGGAGCTGGGGACTGCTGGGTGGGGTTTTGGGGGCTGCTGGATGAGGTTTGGGGTGCTAATCAGTGGATTTTGAGGTCCTACTGGGTTTTGGGGTGCTGCTGGGTGGATTTTGGGGTGCTCATGAGTAGGTTTTGAGGTCCTACCAGGTTTTGGGGTGCCACAGAGTGGGTTTTGGGGTGCTGCTTAGTGGACTTTGAGGTCCTGCTGGGTGGGTTTTGAGGTGCTGCTGGGTTTTGGGGTGTTTCTGAGTTATGGGGTGCCACTGCATTTTGGGGTGCTGCTGGGTTTTAGGTGCTGCTGTAGTCGTTTTGGGGTGCACATGAGTGGGTTTTGAGGTGCCCATGAGTGGGTTGCGAGGTGCTTCTGGGGGGGATTTGGGGTGCTTCTGGGTTTTTGGGTGCTGTTGGCTGGTTTTTGGGGTGGCCATGAATGGGTTTTGAGGTGCTGCTGGGTGGGTTTTGGGGCACTGCTGGGTTTTGGGGTGCTGCTGGGTGGGTTTCGAGGTGCCCACGAGTGGGTTTCGAGGTACTTCTTGGTGGGTTTTGAGGTGCTGCTGCATTTTGGGGCACTGCTGGGTGGGTTTTGGGGTGCCCATGAGGGGGTTTTGAGGTGCTGCTCGGTTTTGGGGCACTGCTGGGTGAGTTTTGGGGTGCCCATGAGTGGGTTTTGAGGTGCTGCTGGGTTTTGGGGCGCTGCTGCATTTTGGGGCACTCCTGCGTGGGTTTTGGGGTGCCCATGAGGGGGTTTTGGGGTGCCCATGAGTGAGTTTCGGGGTGCCCATGAGTGACCCCATCCCAGCTCCATACCTGGGCTCCAGCTCAGCCCAGGCTGCTCCAGCCCCAGCCCTTGCCCAGCTCCGGTTGGGTTTGGGGGCGCCCTAACTCCAGCTCTGCC